CTATAAATTCACTCAGAAACCCCAAAAAATATAGTAAAAAATTTACATAGCAAGCAGAATATCAAAAACCACAGCATCAAATTTATAACTGAAATCAATTAAAAATAGTAATGTGACTATATATCCTTACTTTTCGGAAAGAATATGTTATTGTGCGTCACGCAATAATCTTACTATAACCAGGATTGAAAAAAGATTCGCAGGATTATATATATATGTAATATGAATTACTTTGAAACCCATGTACTAAAGGAAATCAAACATTTTATTATTTCATATCAAATAGAAAAATAAAATGAATGAAAAAAAATATGCTGAAATCTTTATAAACAAATCAGAGTTGCACTTCCGAAGTTCTTCTTTGTCATTATTTTTTAAGACATCATTCCGCTAACCTTTACACTGTTGTGAAATTTTACGATTTTCAAGGTCCACAATTTCAAACGTTGTTGGGTAATTTACGGCCCTTAATGTTCAGAAATCTATTTTATGTTCTCTTGAATTATGTAATGTTATAACTATATATAATTTGTCAAAATAGTTTTTACATGGCATGCATGCTGATGACACCTCATCTCAGCTAGCTGTTATAACAGTTGCTAAAAAGTAATCGAAAAGTCGGGTCGGCTGTAAAATAATTAAATACTATAGTTAAGTTTAAAGAGAAAGAATTCAATTTTAATATTGACGTACTTCAGAAAATTTAAAAGATTATTGTACTTATGACAGGCGATTACGAAGTATGGACATAATTTTATACTAAGTAACCATAATGTAACTTTAAGAGTAACTTCTGAATCAAGATTTTAATAACGAAATTAGCATTTTTGTACAGTTCTAAATGATATCCTAAATGAAAACAGTCTTATATATCATAACCACAAAAACAATATAAGTATACCTAATAATGAAACAAGAATTGAAAGAAATAAAAATGCAAATTTTAATTACAATAACTTTCCCCTTTAAACATTTGAACAATTTAAATGTGTTATGAACAAATAAAACGTACACAATCTCGTAGATGCATTGTTAATAAAACGGAATTAATTGAACAACATTTGTACACACATTCATACAGTTTGGTACACGTACGAATAATTACGTAATTTATATTCATAATATTGTGTTATTTTAGGATGATTCGACAAATTAATTGGATCATATTACATATGTTATGTATTTACACAAACTTTTCCTAGATAATATTTTATTCAGATCATTTCAAATAGTTACACTATTAATAGGTGTATTAATAACGTAAATTAAGGTAAACAGCCATATATTGTTCTCATTATTCAACAAATAATCATAAATGGTAATCCATGTCACGGCCGTTTCAAACGCTGAGGCAGCTGTCATTGTGACAAAGCCTAATATAATTAGATTCAGATAGGCATATTTACCTGCTATTATTGCAAATCGATAGATATCAGCTATTAATATTATTATTAGAGTATCGTAGAGTGAAAAAAATATATATATATTAAATTCATGTGAATGTTGAAACTTTTATTACCATTGGCGACTTAAATAAACAATTTTTTTAAAACAAAATTATTTTAAAGCCGGACTCCAATAGCTCATACCAATTTACCGAAACGAAAAATATATGTACGACACATATAATAAGATTTAAATTAATAGTTTGTAATTTAAAACTTTCGCCACAAAGTCAAATCTATTGCAGTTAGACTCATTTTATTCTGAATGTCTAAAAATTAAAGGTTAGAAACCTGACCTTCTCTCTTTGTCTACGCCTGAATCAGTAAATCGTGTTGGTAATCGTACCAATGAGTATTGTCTTGTATGTTAATACAACTATACTTTGAGGAGCTCACCACACTGATAAATATAGGTACATTAATTGTCAAAGATTTAATATAAATAACCATTTAATTTTATTCAAGTATATGACTTCATATGTATGTAAGTAGAAGACTGAAGTGATGACTTTTAATGGTTCCTATTAATTATAATTAAATTTAATCAATTTCATTTGCCATTGTGACATACTTGGTTATATAATTTTTATATATGCTAACTTAAAAACTAAGATGATTAATTAAAATTTGTGATAGTGATAATAGTGCAGAATAAATTAAAAGAACGCTTAGAGAGTAAACAAATAGGTACATAGATATGAACATATTCTATTTGACAAAATCATATCAACATAATGTTCACAACTAGTTTACATTAATTAATATATAATATGTATATAAGTACTAAAATATATAATAACAATAAGAATGAACACAAATTCGCATTATTTACCCCACTTTTTATGTTTACGGGCTGTCATAAAGCTAATACCTTTGTCCTCACCCTAGAGGGGCGCAAAAAGCGAATCTTGAATACAATCTTTGAAGCCCATGTAAATATTTGTTCTACGAAGCCAAAAACCGTTTAAAATTAAAATTATTCATGGAATACCTTATTATAATAAACTGTTAACATTTGAAACTTACAAAAATTGTTTGTAAATAATTAGAATTAATTAGTAATAAATTTATTATTTTGATTTGTACATAGATAATGGAATTAATGAATAAATAATGTAGCATAATAACCCAATATCAAAAGATGAATTAATAATGAAATTGTTTTATTCTATTCAAGAAATTTCAATAAAATGTTTTGGCACTCTCGAGTCTATACATTTTTCGTGTCTGATGCTCATAAAGCTCAACCCACTCAACATGAATTAAGTCAAAATGATCCGCCGGGAAATCACCAGTTCCCACCAATTAAGAGCCTTCGAATAAATTTCTGCAGACGTAGATATATTTTTTAATTACAATACATTACAACTCAATGTTATTTCATGGAAATTCCATATAAATGACTTCTGTGTATAGATCGAGATGTGTATTGAGTTTATTTCATAGTTTCAAGAATGCTACCAATAATAGAGATAAATTTGGTAATTAATGCTTCTTACGTATTTCATTACTGCTATTGGTTATACGTTAAATTTTGTTGTGGGTTAAGGGTGTAGGTCTGTCAAATTTTGTCATAGAATATGATCCTGGTCTTAAGATAATAAAGTAAAAGCTTTCTTTAAAATTCTCACTCGTCATGTAAGAAATATTACAGCATCGATCCGTACCGTATCTACAACACCTTCTACGTTGCAGGTGTTCATGGGCGAAGGTTACTACTTATCGTCATGTAGGCCGTCTGCTCGTTTGCCCCTTTGGGACGTAAAAAAATGTTTAAATCGATATTCTAATAGTCAGCCCTAGTATTTTCATTAAGCTGGAGGTACCTTCTGTTAGCAAATAAAAAGAAAATCATAATATCTATCTATCATTTACCTTATAAATATATATCTATGTACACGTAACATATTTCTTTTCTCTCTGAAATAACGAGACAATCCACAGTAAAACAATGGTATGAACCATGTTAATAGTTTTATTCCTGGTCGGATGTAACATAAAATGTTAAGTTTAAGCATTAAAACACAAAGCAAGTGACCGCTTAAATTATCACTGAAACAAACACACTTGTACACAAACGCTTCTTTGCAGCTTGTGAAATGCGAGAGGATATCATATTTCATAGCCAGGTATGCTTGAACTAAACCAAATATATTCACTGTGAAGATGATATTCTTTACACGACAGGATATTAAGAAGGTTAGAAAGTTAGTTTCAGAGATTTAGATATAACTAAAAATGTAGTTGTTTTATTCAGAACATGATATTTTTGAAAATATACCTTTTTTTTCAAAATCAATCGACATAAATAACAAAACCAGTATTGTAATATGTGCAGAAGTGGGACAAGAATATTCAATAACAAAAATATTAAAATTCATACATTATGTTAGAACTGTTGACATTTGTGAATGAAAATATCGGAAGATATAAAGATCTCATAGCACAGCTTGGACGGCAGTGTCGGACACTAAAAATGTGTCGTAACTGTATATTATGATAATGTATTTTACGCCATGGCTTTGCAATTTTTACAAAAATGTTTCTATTTATGCTGTTGTCGTAAACATATTTTTACCGCTCGTAAAAACCATGGTTTTATATACACACACTTTCATAATTCGGACCAAATGTTTATGGAAAATTTTTGAATAGACTTAACGATTTACGACATTTGAATCGTAGAAAGGATAAAAGATTTTGCATATAAACGTGGATTCATTTCTTTATTTGATATCTTTATACATACGAAGAAATAAATACGGTAGGCGAACTTTTTACTAATATAAAATATTCTCTGCCAATCAGCCTAGGAGTTTGAAAGAAAAAACTTAAATATTTTGAAAAACATGAGTGAACATTGACTTAAAAGTCAATTAAAATATTTGCTATATATGTGATGAAACATAGCAAAGCTGAATTTAATATGTCATATAAATACTTTGTTTAGAATTAAAATGAAAATACTGTTAATAATGTTCTCTACTGAATTTATTGTAGAAGTTTTAATAACTTAAACTCATATTTAATTAAGATGGTAGACAGGAAAATAATAAAACTTTTATCTCAAAGAAAATTCAATCTGAGATTTTATCAAATTCAAAACCGTATAAGAGAAAAAAGTTCTTAGAAAAATAGGGTTGCTATTTACAACTTATTCTCTTTGTAGACAAAGCTCTTGAAACGTCTTGAAATTCGAGACTAAGATAAAAGCAGTGCAAGAAAATGACCCGAAGTTTCGAAAAGTTTTTCGTATTTAAATTTTATCTTAAAACCGCGATTAATATTGTCTCTGGATATTGTTTTTAATTTTAGTTTTAGTAAATATCTTAATCTGTGTGGTAGCAAATTAATTTACTTTTGACTTAGCTGTTTAGATAACTAAAAATATAATTCTTGCTAATTAATTAAGAGAAGTTAAATAAAATTCATACGATAAGTGTTAAAAACAGATAAGAATTAATCTGATTACATTATAGTACGTGTCCCACTCCGGGCTGGTCAATCATCGATATGATATCTTTTATGTTGATTTTTTCATTTTTTTCGTGAACCATGTGGCGGTTAGCTGCTATATTTGTTCTCTTTAACATTGTTCTATGCGATGAAAAAATTACCAAAGTGGTAGAATTAGATTATGGGACAGTGAGTGCAGAGAAGTATTGGGATGGAGATTTTTACACGTTTTATGGAATACCGTATGCGTCTATACCAACCGGTCGTGACAGATTTAAGGTACATTATAATTTAATTTATTATTTTTAATACTATAAAATTTATAATCACTAAAGAATATCTTTAAACAAAAATGTTTGTTCAATTTGCATGTATATATCACAATTTTTTCTATAAATAATCTAAGATAGCTTTAGAATAAATAAAGCTATTTTGTTTAATAAAATATTTGAAATTATTGTTAATAAATGGTATGATGATTTTATTGATGTAATCGTTTAAGGGACCTCTACCACCAAAACCATGGGAAGGAGTGCTCGACGCAAATAGAAGATCAACTATTTGTCATCAATGCTACTTTACTGGAGGTTCAGAAGAAGCACTTTTAGACGGCGATGATGATTGCCTACTCATGAATATACTGGCACCTCTAGTGGCCAGTGAAGATAATTTATTACCTGTATTAGTTTATATACATAGTGGTGCATTTTCTGGTGGAAGCGGTAACATGGCTTTCTTTTATCACCTAGCCAGACATGATGTTCTTACCGTGAGCTTCAACTATCGATTAGGAGCATTTGGATTCGCATGTCTTGGTAATGAAGAAATTCCTGGCAACGCTGGTCTGAAGGATCAAGTCGCTGCATTACGGTGGATTCAAGATAATATTAAGAAATTTGGTGGAGATCCGAAAAGAGTGACTCTGGCAGGGTTCAGTGTTGGAGCAGCTATGGCTGAATTGCTATCTTTCTCCAAGTCTACTGTTGGTTTATTCGATAAATTGATTTTAGAAAGTGGTTCTGCATTCTCGCCTTTTGCTATTAACAGAGATCCTGTAGCAACAGCATTGAATTTAGCTTACGCTATGGGATATAATGGAACGAACGAAATTGATGAGTTAACGGAATTTTATTTAAATGCAGAAACCAAACAATTAGCTGAGAAAAGTATTAATTATTACCTCAAAAATAGCACATTCGGTTTTTCTCCATGTATTGAAAATTTGCATGAAGGCATGGAGGCTATATTACTAGAATCTCCCATTGATGTTATAAATAAAGGAGAACAAAATGATGTAGCAGTCCTCACAGGATTTGCAAATATGGAAGGCATAAGTCGCACTATTAAATTCGGTACATGGAGAGAAGAAATGAATGAAAACCTTGCCGATTTCTTACCTGCTGACTTGAAGTTCGAATCTGAAAAAGCCAAAAATGATACTGCCAGAGCCATTAGCAAACGCTATTTTAATGATAAAGAACTAACCGCAGAATCGTTGCAAAATTATGTTGATTACTTCTCAGACTCCATGTTTAAATATGGCATAATTAAATCAGCGAAACTACACGCAGATGTATCTAAGAGACCAGTATATTTATATGAATTTTCATACGTTGGTAAACTAAACATAGAACATAATTATATGGATAGAATAAAGGGAGCTAGTCATAGAGATCAAACAGCATACGTTTTAGACTTTTTTGGATACACAAATAATTACAAGGACCTCGACGTAAGGGAAAAAATGACATTGATGTGGACCGACTTCGTAAAATACGAGTAAGAAACTTAGATAGTATTTTAGTTATTACTTATGAATTTTGTTAAATTTTCAACCTAAAAGTAATTTACATTTTGTAAATTATTAAAAAAATTCTAATACAGCTATTTTCAATTTCAGAAATCCAACGCCGTACGAAAGTTTTCTAATCACAATCAAATGGTTACCATATACCAAGAAAGAACGGAATTATATAGAGATTAATAAAAAAATGGTAATGAAGAAGGATCTTTTCGAAAATGCTTATGAATTTTGGAATAAAATTTATGAAAAGTTCTACTGGAACCCAATAGCACCGAAGTTTATTAAAACTGAAAAAAAGAAGAGTATTAAAACCAATCAAAAAGGGGAGTTCAAAGGTGTAAGCGAAACAAACGCAAATAGTGACAAGATAAATGATAATAAAATGAAACAAAGCGAAGACACAAAACCTCTAAGTGATCCAAATCCTGAAAGTAAAAGTAAGCCTGAAAAAGTTGTGAAATCTGAAAGTGCCCTTAAAAATGATAAGGATACGAAGCCTCAAAACGCTCTTAACTCTGAAGAAAAACCTAAAAATACTAATATTAAAGTGGAAAAAGATTCTGAAAAGAATAAATCCGAAAGTCTTCCAAAATCTAAAAGTATTGTTGAACCTGAAAAGAATGGTAAAAATAATAAGGACAGCCTTTCTGAAGGCCTGAGGAACAACAAGGTTGATGAAAAAAGTGGTGCTAAACCTAAGATTAATACTAAATCCAAGTTCGAATCCAATAGCAATATCAAAACTGACGTAAAATTAGAAAGTAACGATAATGGTAAAGTATAAAATTAAGTAAAACAATACACAAAATAAATACTTTTTTATTCAAAACAACATTATTTATTTGCTTTATTTTTTAATACATATATTAAATTTCGCAATCCATAATTACATGCAAGTATTTATAAAACATATTACGAGCAATTTAATACTGTATATCATTAAAGTCCTATGATGCGTTTAATGGGGTTCAACAGTTCCCGAACTTTAAAATATCACGTGTAATGTAACCTCAGTTTATAATAACGAAATCTAAAACCATAAATAACTAGCAACATCGAGGGGAGCGCTTTGGAGTGCAATGTTGCTTGAAGGAGAAAAGAAAAGTTATGATACATTTTAAACATTTAGGTATGGTTCTACCAATAACTACTTTATTCAATATTAGGAATTTATAGTATGAGAAACTATTCTCTTATTTGCACGAGTTTAGTTTTAAAATATTTGTTTTTTGTTAAAATATTCTTTTGGGACATAATGATGCTTTCTTGATAATAAAATTAGATATACATACTTATATTTATTCCAGTTCAAAGTAAATAAATAATATTGACTCAAAACCTTCACTTGTCCATTCACAGAAGGGCTGTGACGGGAAAATAATTACAAAATGGTTCGCTCGACTGTTTGAGGGAAATGTTTTCTATACATGCCACCCTCCAAATATATGTATTATAAATTTTAATCTAGTCATACATAATATAATATGATCCTTATTCCTATACATATAAAGCATTTATTTGAAATATAGAAATAGTGTACCCAATAAGAACATGTATTGAAAGTTCCCTCAGGTGATTTTTTTTTATCTATTGATGTATAAAGGTGTCAATTTATAAGTGTCAAAAGCAGAATTTCGAAGTGTGTTTGCGTTAAAAAACTTCTACAAGTGCTTAGAACTTTTAGATGACAAATCGAAAAATATTTTCTTATTGGCATAAAGTAACTTGATACGGTATAAAATATTTATGGCTTCGGAAAATAAATATAGAATTTAACAATATATGTTAATCTTACATTTCATTAAAGCTGTACATCGTTTAAAATCATTTATTAGATTTATAATTTTTGATCATCCAATAAAAATTATTGTTTGAAATTTTACACTACTTTTTATACCGTTGGTATTTAATGTTTGGTACTGTATAATAATCTCTTTGAAAGACAGTCAAGAAATAAAAAACAAAGTGACCTAACAACAGTAATCAATTTGTTATCAAGGATAGGAAATGATAATTAATTAGCTATGAACTCTGTGAACATATACATTTAAATTAGAAAATAGATAATGAAAAATTCATCTACACGAACAGGTTTCTTATCTGCAACCTCAAAATTTCGCGTTCAAATTACTGTGGACATAATAAAAATTGATACCAAATATTCTAAATATATTTTATCAGAGTTATACCATAAATCAGTGAAGTCTACCTCAATGAATCCCGTACAATAACGCCTTATCTGAATTGCTTAAATGCTTGCTAATCAAACTTAATCACGATAGTCACATAATTAGGGTCGGGCTCTGTTATGTGAGGCACGCGCCGTGTCATCACTCCGGAACTCTACATCGGTTATGGCGTGCATTCTTATATACAGGGTGTTCATTCATTACCATCATTATCATAATACATAAAGCAAGCATAATAATATTAATATTTTGTTTCAGTATAACGAATATTGCTATTCGTTGTGGAATTATATTCAAAGCTAACAATGAAATCGATTTTTTTTAATCAACCTGTATAGCTTTCGACATTCCATATCCTTCGCATTAAGCAAACTTTCTGTACATCATATTCAAATCTATAGGTTAAGCAATAACAGAGCTTTTAATAATACATTTTTAAATTAGAAGTATCCGAATAAACTTAAAGGAATTAATACAACCTGTATAATTTTCGAAATACCAACGTTAAGCAAAACCAGCCGAAGCTAACTTCAATTCACTTTAACTAATATTGACGTCTACAGAGCATTAACTTCCAGAGGCTGAAGTGAACATGACATTTCCTATCTTTATAATATATATTTCTATCATTAAATATTTTGGTATACATATAGGAATAAAGAAGAAAACCTTTGATTTAGAAGCTATTGTCCATAAATTATTAAATATTTTAAGTAATATCGTGAATTTTAATAACACATGTATTATAAAGTTCAAACGTAATTTAATTAATAAATTTAATAACACAAAGATATTTCGTAAAATAATCTATTTAGTATTATACAAAATCTTTTAATTAACACAGAATATATTGTGAAGCAAAATTGTTCTAAACAAAAAACAAAGTAGAATAACATTTCGTTTAATTGATTGTCATACTATCAAATCTTTAAATAGTATTACAAATATATAACTTAGGAATGATTTTCGGAGATACTCCTCGATTTATTATATTGTTTCAATTAAAAGAACCATGCTCATTTACAATGAGATCAATGTGATCGATTTCTTACTTAACTTTACAGGAATAGTCAATTATACAATTAAAAAAAATATTCCTGAAATTTTCTCCTTTTGACATACAGATTATTTAAAAAAAAATAACAGTTGTTTACTGACAATGAAACTTTTGCTTAAAAATTCGAGCTATCTGATCTTATCCGAATTCTTAAACAGTTAAACAACAATTAATCATTATAATATATTTACGCTGAGAAGTTTGATAATGAAAAAAAATCTATTACAGAGTGAAAGATAAATTTCCTTAAAAGAATTCCCCTAAAAATCTTTAGCCGGATGACTGTGCAATTACCAATATCGCGTCTGCATCGCTGAGATCGGAAAAATCCCATTGCGCCGCCATAAATCAGTTTTCCGTTTATTAAAACACCCCTGACACCATCACCCCTACAGGGAGGTCGGTGCCCACTTTAACTACAAGGGTCTGTGGGATTACACAAAAAGATTACAATTAGACGTGTAAGGTATACAGTCTATATTTTTGTTAAAAGTTGGTCAATAAATAAAGATCTTTTTGAGCTCATCAATTGATACAATAAAAAAAATATTTGCTCTTTATCACCGAGAATATCTAGATTTAATAATAAACTTTATAAAAGATAAAAATCATTTAAAATATTTTTCTCATCTTTCACAGACAATAAATAAAGTAAGCGAAGGCTGCAGTATTTTTTTAGTCTGTGCACCCTTAGTGTTAACTTCAACACTCAACATTGCAGGGAAGCCTCAAACTTAAGTGGAGATAAATCTTCTTGAAAATTTCGAGAATCGATTTACATTTTCTGACACCCTGTACATGATGTGCAATTTGATATTTGCTTCTTTAAAAACTTGTGCAAATAGATCGGGTTATAAATAAACATTTCATTAAAGAGGTTTTATTTGTGGAAATTATTATTTTTCTTTCTGAATATAAGGTGCGTGAAAATACTATTACACAAAAAAACTAACATGGAAATATTATTTTCAACTTGTCTATTTAACTTATTTGTTCGTATAATGTGGGGATTAAAAGAAATAAGAATAGCCATATGACGACAAGTAAGTGATTTAAAATTGAAAAAAAACAAAGAACTGTATCTTTTTATCACTTTCTTTTAAATAGATAAAATAAATAATAATAATAATAATATATGTATTAGTTTTATCTATTTCATTATTTGGCACATAACAAATGCACATTTTTTTTATTTCAAATTCAGATGATCAGTACTAACATATTAAAAGCGGGAATAATATTAATTTAAATAATAATTTACATCCACCGTCCTTTACCTTTTTGACAGTCAATGGATAATGGTAAAATAAAATTAAATACTGCTTGATATTCACAAAGGGATTGATTGTGGGAAGTGCTTGAAACCCTTCAATTTCGGTTCTGCCACACACAATGGCGTAGGCTGTCACCGTTTGTATTGAGGTTTTTTTATGGGAAGTGAAAATTGCTCGAGAAATGCCATCAATTCCACATTCATCGTAATATATATGATTATTAAGATTAATAGATTTTAAATAACCAGATTTATTTATTAAAATTACATATTTTTTTAATCAAATTATCCAATTATATATGTCTGTATGTATATATATAATCTCGTAGCTTCGATGACTCCCGGGAAATTATCCAATTTCCTTCATGTACGAGTTTTAATTAAATGACACAATAATATCATAATGAATTCATTTTATATAAATTAAAATTTAATTTTAAGCGTCGTGTGCGCTTAATGTTATAAAATTAATTTCAACTTCTAAAACATTAACGCTCATCTTAATTAAGTTCTGACTTAATATGACAATAATTTTTAAGTGTCCTTGCTTATTTTTTCTCTAGAATAAGTAATAATTTTAAGTGATGACTTATAATAAGATAACTTAATTTGATTAGTGTTATTTATTATTCAGTGGTATTCACTATCGATAATTTTAGACACTAAAGAATTTTATTGTTATATAAAATAATTAATTTTATGGAACAGTTTTTAAGTCTGTCAGACATAGTGCACACATAATCATTTTCTCTATTTTTCAGTTAAAGTTTTATATTATGGAACTATTTCGATTACTTTATTGAAAAAAGCATACTTTTACCTTTAACATTATCTTTGGGTTAATAAATGTAATTGATTTACGAAAATCAGAAGTAAAATATATTTAATATAAGAAATAACTGTTTTGCTGACCACACTAATATAAAAAATGAAACCTTTTTTGACTCAAAGATCTTTTAATAAAATTAAATAAAACTCTCGTCTCTGTGGTGCACAAATCTTATACGTTATATTGTTTTCATTAAGATAAAAATAACACATGAATAAGAAAAATAAACGTAGTAGAAGAACAAAAAGAACTATATATATTTTAATATTAGTGATTTAAATACTAGAGTACCTACTAAATATATACGTATTTTTTGTGTAATATCCAATCAAAGTACACCAATCTTATCAAAATAATGATATTTTCGAACACAAAAGAAATAATTTCATTCTATATCTATTAAATTTACAAGGTATCGGTATGAAGTATCAGGAAA